GTCGTAAAATGTATGGTTTTACACACACTGCACTCTATCAGACTAAATAGCCATTTAGTACAAAATTCTCATTGATTTGTTGAAATTCACATATGCAGGAATAAGTTTCCACAACTGGCGTTAAAACTAGAATTGGAATTTGAATGTTACACTGATCCACAAAGGGGGCCAGGTTTTTTACTCCAATACCAAACCAGTAGTGGTTCAACTAATTCACACTAGTGGGATACAAAAAAAAAGGGGGGAGCCAAAATTATCGCAAAACGTTTGTAAAAATAAAAATGGAAGGTTCAGTACACATTTTACACAATTCAATCTATCAAATATTTTCACCCAATGAAGATTTACAGATGATTTCAGAATGCAACATTTTACTGGCCGATACTGGTACAATCTTGGTGACCCCTTACATGGTACTTAAGTGTAATTAAAATCTTGGTGACCCCTTACATGGTACTTAAGTGTAATTAAAATCTTGGTGACCCCTTACATGGTACTTAAGTGTAATTAAAATCTTGGTGACCCCTTACATGATACTTAAGTGTAATTAAAATCTTGGTGACCCCTTAAATGGTAATTAAGTGTAATTAAAATATACAAACAATCTCAACAACAATGCAAAACATTTTTTTTAAAATGTCACAATTTATCGTTTTCTAGCACTTCAATACAAAATAAATACATTTCATTAAAAGTGTAGGTATTGATTCTAGGCAAGCATACATGCATCAATTATTACAATGATAGATAAAAGGAATCCATCGCTAATCACTTTTGATGTATCAAGAGTTCTCATTCATCACACCACATCACTTCAAGCCACTAAATTAATCATAATGCATTTCTCAAAAGCGTTCCAAGGATTCAACTCCAAAGAGGCCAAGGCGGCCATTGTTGACAAGCTGGCTTGAGGCATAAAAAATTGAATCATTTTTTTTGCCAATTTTTTGCCATGACAACGGTGCTTTTAAAATAAAGGTTCAAGCACTAGTTTAAATCCTAATATATGTGTGCACTGTATATCTAGTATATTAGACACAAAATGTTGCATTGATTTGGTGTAGTCCACAAAATACACATGTCTTCAGGAGAAGTATACTTTTTCTGGTGGTATGAGACCAGCTGCAATATTCTAGATTCACTGACAAGGTAGTTGAATGTAGCACATGCATGGGCCTGAAAACAATAAAAAACAGTAAATACATCATTTATATGAATGACCACGTCTAATAAGATTTATTAGTTAAATTAAACAAATGCAGTAAGTTGCTAATATTCCAAGTCATTCTTGTGGCACATAGGAAAATCAGAATGCAAGTTTGATGAAACATATCACAAATCGGAGATGTATCGACTTTTCTTAGCTAATGCTTAACATCGTAATAATAATTTGTATGTGTGTTTCCATGACCTCTTAGCATATTCCATCTCATTTGCATATCTGAATCCCTTTCCTTAAAAACAGTATACTGATACTTTATCGATTAAAAATGTATTTTTTCTGGGGGTCATAAATGTATTTACAGTTTCGGAGACACATTGGGAACACTTTTGAGTTACTGTTCGAAGAAACATTTGTGTTAAAAACTCAATTTGGTAAATGTCTGAAGCAGTCAGTATATTGCGGAAATAAAACAATTATTACAAAAATATATTGAATGTTTGTCATATATTGCACCAAAAGCACTATATAGATAGAATTCAGTCCTGATTTGAATGTTTCATTTATCTTGCTTTATTTTACAAAAACGATGAAAAAAACAAACATTTGCATTTCACCAACCATGAATTCACCTTGCAAGCTTCAGTATGGACATTGAGGGCACAATGATTGTAAACTTACACCTTAAAAAAAATCAAGCACAAAGCAATATTGATGTATATTCTCTGACTACCTCATAATAGCTCTAAATATCAGAATTGTATCATGATAGGACCTACCCCTGTCAGTTACAATAACATGTATACTTACCGTATCTTGTATTTCTAATGCTATGCCCTTTGACCTCATAAATTTATGTAATTTAGGATCTAATCTGAGAATTTTAGATCCAATTCCTAAAACTAAAACTTCTGCAAAAGACAAATAATAAAATTCACATAAATTTGACTCTCATAAAATCAAAGCATTTATTATCAATATATTAAACGTCAACAATGTATCATTGAATAATCACTTGTATGTAAATGAGTTAAATCTGGAATGAATTGCATCTTTATATTTTACATGTTGCATTTCTTACCTATTTTCGGTTCTATTACATGAAAAAGAGAAAGACTTTCTTCAGTTATATCCTGAACTCCGGCCACCTAATACAAAGAGCATGCAGATATATATAATTAATTAAGGTATAACTTTTTATCACTTTTTAATATACCGATATACATGTATCTTGAAATTGTTGTGCAAAATCGGGTCATAACCATCAAAATTATGGAGCTGTACATGTTGATTTATCTTGCAAAGAATTGGACCAGCATGCAACTTTAGCCTCTTTCCTGATTGACCATATAAAGTTACAGGGTTAGAACACCATTAGAAAGTAATTTATCAGAAACACATAATTTATTTTATTTTTCTCAACCCAAACCATATACATATATACATACTTACAGCCCAATGTACAAGCGTTTTGGGTAAAATAGCGACAGGTCCAATAATTTTATCACCATTGATTGTAAAACCATGTGTACTATATGACGATATATTGGGTAAACCTTCAGACTCTTTTGAAAGTAATGATATTGTAGTTCTGTCATATTTTTCATCATCTGTGGGATACATTTTACTCATACTGCGTATAACATTGAGTCTGAAAGAATTAAAATGTCAAATTATCATTATTAAAGACATTGTGTACAGTAGTGAGTGGATCACGACTGATCAACAGTTTAAACATGGCTTGAAATTATCTAAATGTTTGGAAACCTAAGGGGCTATTGATTTTAAAAGCAGGCAGGCCCCTAGTATCAAGAATAGCCTATCAGATAGCGCTTACATAGATCACGGTAATATATTGTGAATATAAATAAATGTCACATTCATTTATGTTTAGTTGCTTCCGTCAATACACAGTTTTATTGATTGGAAATTAATATGTGCAAATTTCAACCAGAAATTGTTCACCCAAGATACTGTGGAAAGCATGAAAATGTAAAATGTTGATAACATCCTCAAGTTTATGCCAGGAGGGAATTAAAAAATATTATGATGATCTGAGCTGTATAAATATTATGTCTACAAAGCAGCTTGATAATGGTAGATTATAGTAAACATCTTACAAATACAATAACTATGACATAGTAAAAATTATAAACTGCAAAGAGATTTGTCTCAATGAAGATTTGTCTCAAAATGACACTTATTAACTAAGGTGCAGTAGAGGTGAGTAATTGCCACATGGTCTCAGCGGCAAGCATTGCAATGTGGCATTCAAACACCTGGCACAACAGTCCTGGCACAACAGTACTGTACAAGAAGGTATTTATCCTTTATTTGGGATGTCATATAATCATCTGCCAACCCTGCTGCAGGTCCAGTTGTTTATGTATTTAAATTGTGCACTGAATTGTATACTGGCAATTAAATTAGACATGCTCACATAGCACAAGTGATATATGGTTGTGGTTTTCAGCATACGTATTGACAATAATGTTCCCATTGTCACAGTAATCAAGTTTGCCAAATCTTTCTGTACTTAGA